GCGACGAAGGCGGCGAAAACCAGTGCGAGATCGGTGGCGACGTTTCGTTCCTCTGTCCGCGGAGGGCGACGACAACGACGAGGAAGGTAGCGGAGGAAGCACCGAACCTCGTGCTCCGTCTCTGCGATCTGCAACGGCGATCTTTAGCGGCAATCTGCTCCTTGGTTTTTGAACGCAGCAATGAAGAAGAACGGAAGAGACGGTCTTGGAGCGTAAAAAATCGGAAAAGGAGATTAGCATTTAAAGACGCAGTTTTTAGTCCAAACTCAATTTAGTCATATTCTTGTCAATTAAAACCTGATTACTTATACGTGTGCCATTTTTTCATACTGATATACCTATACTCGGTATTTAGTTTTCTTATTGCTTAGGCAGGGAGGGCATAGCTGACATATTAATCTTAAGCTCAAAATGATACACGCGCAGGGGTCACATTTTTGACAAAAACTAAAAGAGGTCCTATATTTGTCCAAACTCTTTTGATTAGTAATATTCATGACATAACCCCTAAATTAATACAGAGTCATTTGCGTGTGTTTCCTAGGCAACGAACAAAAGTACTCTGTAATTTATTTGATTTTTATATCATAATATTTTTATATTATACTAGTATTATTCTTCAATTGTAATTATTAGGTGGTCATTTACAATAACTTGATCCGATAAATTACAATTACACGTCCAATCACTTTCATTTTTTATCCGATCAATTAACGTTATTTGATCCGATCAGTTACAGTTATATGTTTAACCAGTTATAATTATCTGATCTGACCAGTTACAACTAACCGATTCGATTAGTTACAGTTACCCAATTAATCAGCTACAATTACCAGACCAACCAGTTACAATTATCTGACCCGCCAGTTACAATTACTCGACTGATCAATTATAGTTACTCGACCCGCAAGTTACAATTACCCGACAGATCAATTACAGTTACTCGACCCGTCAGTTACAATTATCTGACTGATCAGTTACAGTTACTTTACCCGCCAGTTACAATTACCCGACTGATCAGTTACAGTTACTTGAACCGCCAATTACAATTACACGACTGATCAGTTACAGTTACTCGACCCGCCATGTACAATTACCTGACTGATAAGTTACAGTGACTCGACCCGTCCCTAATTACAGTTACCGACCCGTCCAATTACAGTTACCCGACCTGTCCAGTTATAGTTACCCGGTCCATCCAATTACAATTACCCGATCCGTCCAATTACAGATACCTGATCCACCTGATACCATTATCCGACATACCAATTACAATTATTATGACCACCGCTAGCCACCACCGCCTATAACAACTGATGAGTGATGACCACCTATACCGGCCACCGCTACCCCCACCCTGATACGGCTCAGCCCCCAGCCACCTCCCCTGCCCCAACCCCCTCCCCATCCCCATCTTCGTCACCCACCGCCGTCCCAACCGCTCAATCGCGCTGCCAGTAAGGACGTCGACCACCACAGTCATCGCCGCTCGCTATTGTAACTCTAACAACTGTCTCCTCCTCGCATGTCCAGTATCACGCTTGGATTTGCCTCCTTCGCTCATAGTCGCGGGAATCAGCATCCATGGGGTGAGACAGAAAGAGAAGAAAGAGAAAGCAACTGGGATGGCGGCGAGCAACGAATTCGGCGGTGTGGCACACGACAAAGATGGCTGACGACGGTTGTAGGTGAAGGGGAGATCGCAAAGAGAAGCACATAAGTCGCAGAGAGAACCATGGCGGCGGCAGGTACGAAGATGGAAGAAATTGGGGGGAAGGAAAGAGAAGATCCGTATTAATTGGTGCAAGGTTACATTTGTAAATTTACACTGGAAAAAGTCTCATTTAGGGAAAAGACGGAAAGACTCCTATTTTTGTCTTTAGGTCTTCCGTTAGCATTATTATGGTCATTCTTTCTGATGGATAGTGTACCCGGGAGTAGCTTATCCGAGGGGTTATTGCGGGGAATAACCTAGAGAGAAGTCAGAGCAAGCAAGTAAGAGAGAGATAGAGAGAGAGCCAAGTATATTAAATGAACTTGTTCTGGGTTCCTTTACAAGAGGAATAAGGGCTGCTATTTATAGCATCCATAAATACGATGAGAGTACACGTGTCAACAATCTGACGGCCGAGGGGTCACCTCAATCGGGGGTGGCACCGACACTCGCATGTGCACCACATTAAATGCGGTGGGTGGATGTGACGCCGTATTGAATGCGGTGGTTGCTTGTCACCAGAGGAAGCTTCGTAGAGCGCAGACCCTTCGGCCTGGATCATATAGCCGAAGGCTTCATGTATGGCTGAAGGCCTCATGTATGGCCGAAGGCTTCATGTATGGCCAAAGGCTTCATGTATGGCTGAAGGCTTCATACGGCCGAGGGCATGACATAGCCAAGGGGTACTGGCCGAAGGGGTGCCAAGGGCATCATAACCAAAGGGTACCGAGGACATCATAACCGAGGGGTGCCGAGGGGTACTACCGAGGGCATCATAGCCGAGGGGTACCGAGGACATCATAGCCAAGGGGTGCCGAGGACATCATAGTCGAGGGGTGCCGTGGGCATCATAGCCGAGGGATACCGAGGACATCATAGCCGAGGGGTACCGAGGGCATCATAGCCGAGGGGTACTGAGGACATCATGGTTGAGGTGCTGCCGAGGGCTTCCATTGAATGTCTGGATTGCATGAGTATGTGGGCCAGGGGGTCCTGGATCATATACTCCATCACTTTCTTTTTATTTTGTACCGTTAAGATGTTAAATGACGTGTTTAACCTTATCTACTACGTTTGGAATTTCTTGCTCGATTGCTCGAGGTCCATTACCTTTTCTTCTTAATCGCAGACTCTTCCTCGGCTGCATATTGGACCTAGATGGTAAGCTCTCTTCATCTCTTCTTCATATATGTTTTCACCATTAGTTGGTTCTTCGTTTGTCATATTCCAGTTAAACCTTTGTTTAGCTAAGCCTTTCTAGTATTAGGAACTGCTGGTTTGTACCTTTGATTTTGAAAATAAAATTGGTAATGAGCTATGAAGCACGGAAACTCTCCGCCGCTCACGTTTCCGCGTTTCAAAAACTCGGAAGCGTGTCGGAAATTCGGAAACTTCAAATTTCCGTTTCGAGGCCGTTTCCGTAATTAAGAAGAATCGAGAAACCCGTTTCCCTAAATAATTAGCGTTTCGGAAACCCTCAATTCTCAACATTTTTTTCTTTTTTAAGAGGTCCTATGATGGAAAATAGTGTCTTTTGAAAAAATAGTGATTTTTTGTGTTATTTCTTCGTAACAACACTGTGGCATTTTATAACGCAATGCATTGCTACCAATGAATTGCTTTCGAAATTATACCAGAGTAATATGTAATTATTTCTAAATTTGAGCATGTAGAATGTTTTTATTATCGGGCTATTAAGCAAGTTATACGAAAATATCATGTGCATATATATAAATGAAAAAATTTGTGTACACATATGTGATAAAATATTTACAGATATATCCTTATATTTTTTAATATTTACGCGTTTCCCCCACGTTTCGTATTCTATATTTTCTAAAAATCACGTTTCTCAGGTTTCCCGTTTCTCGTTGCACGTTTCCCGTTTCCCATTTCCGTGCTACTTAGGTAATGAGTGTCAAGCCCTTAATTACCCCACTAGTTTGGTTGTGGCTTTCTAAGTATGAAAAGAAAAAAATTGTGCTTTATTCCTTACCCAAGTGTTCTCTTCTGTTCTCAATTGACGGCACCGTGTGATATGATCTTTCCTTTGTGATTTTACTTCAACCACTATGTTGAGGACAAGAATTGGACCTTCTTCTCGCTCTTGCTTGCATCTATATATGTTGTTGAATTGACATACATATACATATGTGATATCTGTTGTTGTTTGTAAACTCCACTATTTTATTTTAGTACAAAAATTAATACCTTTATCATTGTACATTCGACCAGTCAATTAATCTACACTACAAAAAAACATCGAAATAAGCACGAACTTGGCACGGATTGGTCAAGTTTGACACGGATTGCAACTTACTTTTGGCACAATGCCGTGCAAAATAGCTGGGGACTAAATGACATTGGCACGGAATTTGGCACGGATTTAACGCATCCGTGCCAAATACCCTATGAATTTTGTCAAATCCGTGCCAAAAATCCGGGCCAAATCTGTGCAAAATCATTGTTTTTTAGTAGTGCTAATATATTACCAAACACTTTTACTCCAAATTTCTTTTTGTCTCTTTCTCCCTCTTTCTCTCACTCTTTCTTTCTTTCTTCTCTTTTTTTTTCCTCTTACCATCTTTTGCAGCCTGCATAACAAATTATATAAATTTGGACAGCTCACGGAATCATTATATTTTGTCACTAGCTTTCACTTAATCCTTACATTCTCCATATTCCATAATCTTTTCATGGATGGCTGTTTGTTAAATTTATTGGTTGATATATACGTTGGGAGAAATTGATAGTAACTTTCAAAATACAAGTTTTTACTTTTTTGGTCAACCAAATAGTTTTGCAAGTGCAACATTTTTGGTCAATCAGTATTTATGTTAAATCTTTCCTATCGGTAATTATCTCAATTTTTATTCAATTTTAATAATTAAAATTTGCATATTCAAACATTACATTAAAATCTATATAGTGTAAAATCCGAATTAAAACTTAATTAAGAATTGACATTCTAATTAAGTGAATAAAATCAATCTATTTGACCCAAAAAGTTAATTTTGAAACTCAATTTGAATTGGAGGAAAAATAAGTTAAACTTCACACGCTCTATTTAAAGCACATTTAAGAGCTCATGTTTTCAACTTAACAATCAACTTTAAGTTAAACTTCACACGTTCAATTGCATAGTGATCATTATATTTTAGTTATTTCCCATATACTTAATTATTTATTTATTTTATTAATAAAATATATTTTTCATAATTTTATCCAATTCAACAGATTTATCCACTTTAGGCACTTCAACCAGAACTTTAATTTTATTAATTTCAGCAGAATCAACCGATTCAGTGTATATTTCATTAGCATACTATTATTAGAAATAAATCTAAAACATTTAATTTGTAAAAATGTCATATATAAACTAAAAATAATGGTAGTCTTGTAAATAAATAAATAAATAAATAAATAAATAAATAAATAAATAAATAAATAAATATAACAAAATCTAGTCTAGCATTTAATTTCTTTGAGACCGTGGGCGAAGTATAAGAAAGTTGCGTCGGTGGATCCCTCTTTATAGTAAGCAAACACCATGCTGCTAGATTCTGCCATGCTCTCCCCAACAAAACTACATGCACAACAATAAATATTTATAAATTAGTGCATCATTTATAAAAATGTTCAACACAAGACATAATATATACTAACTCTATTTTCATTAAGTTACAATAATATAATTATTGAGCATTAGTATACTTATTTTCTATTAGTAAAACCTATAGTAAACCATATTCTTGAAATTTAAATTTGAATACTATTTTTCATAATCTAAAATTTCTAAAGTAATACATAAGTGTAGCGATTATATTGTAGAAACCAATGTAATTGGAACCATTATATTAAAGAAGAGAGAAAATATATTATAGTAAACTCTTAGAGTGGATGAAAAATAAGAACTATTATTCATGTAATTAAGTCCTCTCAAAATTAAAAAACACGGAGTAGGACAAAAGTTTGCTTACAATTGGAGATCAGTGATCTTGGAGAGGAGGAACTTGGTAGCACCCTCAATGTTCCTTTTAAAGACCTCTTGTTGTTCAGGTTCTAACTTGGGTGTCAATGACTTGATGTATTTCTTCATGAATGCTATGAACTGTTTCTTGTCATAAGCAGGTTGCTCCTATAAACAAGTCATTGAATATTTAACCAAAGAAAAATCAAAACACTTAAGAGATCAAAAGAAAAAAAAAGTGAAAATTTGATAAACTATTTTAAACTATAGCAAATTTAGTACTCAAGATATGCACTAAAAGATATTAACATTTTTTAATGACATACGGAGTATATACTAGACCCAACTTATCCGATCCATCCTAGTTATGTCTAGCTTTTTTGGGATATACCAAAAATTGAAAATCTATCGAATTCTTGTCTTTTATATTTTTTCATGGGTCTCTTAGGGAGTGTTTGCAACTGCTTCTGCTTAAAAAAAAGCACTTTTGGAGATGTAAAGAAAAAGTGATTAGTAGTAAAAGTTGATAGTGTTTGAGAAAAAAGTGATTTTGAAAAGTAAAAGTTGGTAGTGTTTGGTAAAATAAGTGCTTTTTGTGTAATAGAAAAGGCAAAAACACTTTTCACACGCAAGCCGAGAAAAAGTAAAAATTGGTAGTGTTTGGTAAATAAGTGATTTTTAAAGCCAAAAGCTGAGAAGTGCTTTTTTTAAGCAATTGCAAACACTCCCTTAATAATAAAAATAAAACGGCAAAAAACTATAACTGCAACTTTTATAGAAAACATGCAATTTATTTTTTATTCTGAGTATATACCTGAAGTCTAAAAGTGTCAACGATGTCAACAACCTTAACAGACTGATCCTCAACAACCTCGTCTTCTCCACCTTCTGCCGACGGGTTTGCCCCAATATCCACATCTATACCACCTTGAACGACCCACTGCAATTTTCATATTACCAAAAAAAATCCCGATCGTCAGCAATTATCAAATCACAATTTCATAATAAAAAAAACACAATATCCAGTAAAAATAAATAATAATAATAATAATAATAATAATAATAGTAATATAATTAACCTTTCCGTCAACTTCCCATAGAATCCCATTCTCAATTTCTTTGTAGGGGAATGAGTCTGAGAGAAGCTCGTCACCTGCCACAAATGGCAATTAGATTACATCATATAAATCTCATATGCCACACTACCCTAAGTTAAATATGTTGTATGGTAGCAGTAATCAGTACTTTAAATCCAGAAATAATATTAAGTAGAAAAGAGGGTACCAGAGAGTAAATCTTGATAGACCAACATGATATGAAGTCTTTTTGGTTTTGTTCTGTATATTCTTGATGGAGGATATGAATTAAGAATAATTTAAGATGCTTATACTCCGAATGAAGAAGGGTAATAGGCTAGGCTATAAATATATAGGGCGATGTTTGGCGGTTTAATTGAGAGAAGAATGAGAGGTTGGGTAGGATACGTACGTAGGAGAAGAGTTTCCAATTAAATTCCTAATTAGTTTAGTTTCCAAATTCCAATTTAGTTTCTAAATTGTACTCAAGCTAGTCATATTTGGTAACATAATAACTACGTTAGTGGTTCCCAAATTAAAGCCTTATTAGCTTAAATATGTTTCTAATGTATAATTATGAGTCCCGTTAAATATCTATGCCATTAATCAATTCCTTTTTGGCAACATATTTATTTTATTAATTAATAAATGAATGAAAAGTATGACTGAAATAGAATTTGGCCACTGAATAAAAGTAGAAATACTTACTAATATATATTTAATTAAAATGAATATGATGAATAAAAATGTGATATCACATATGAGGAATAGTTATATTAGTAACTTTTAGCGTTTATTATATTCAAATTTGAAGCAAGTGCTTCAGTCTAAATCAAGACTACATGAACATTGGATTAAAGATAATGAGGTTGTTTGGGAAATGGCCGATCAACCAATATTTAGCTTCTTTGACTGAAAATAGCTGATTGAATTGGTCAAACAGCTAAAAAAAATTGTTTGGTAAATGGCTGTTCAATTTAGCTGGTTAATACCAAAAAGCCGAAAGAGAAGACGCTGAGGGTAGCAGGGTTTAGATGCTCGGTGCAATGGCTTGTCCATTTATATCCCTAATACGTATATTTAGCGATTAGCAGTTAGCGGAGAGCGGGTTATGTTAGCGGATTGTGTTAGTGATTTGACTATAAAAACTATTCAAAAATCATTTAGGGCGTGTTTGGCATTTATCGATTAGCGATTAGCGGATAACGGATTATGTTAGCGGGTTGTCAATAGCGGATTTAGTCAGCGAGTTTGACTAGTGGAATAAGTTAGCGGGTTGCCACAAGATGATGTTTGGTAATTTAGCTGTTTGGCCATAAAATTAGTAGAAAACGCCATTTTCAAAATGCTAACTCAAAACTCTCTTATTCAAAACGTTTTCATTTCAACGGTTTCGTCTAAAAACGCTAGGCTAAACAACTATTTCCCAAACAACGTTTTCATTTATTGAAAACGCTAAAATGGGTCAAACCACCATTTTTTTTTGCTGAAAATTCATTTTCCACTCACTCACTTAGTCTGTCAAATATAAGTGATCATGTGTATTTACCGAAGGAGCGAGAGAGAGGCAATTTTCCATCAACTTACTCCCCGGAGAAACTCTATTGTATTTTTGGTGTGATTCGATCTACATGCTCTTTTTTATGTTTCCTGTCAATTTCTTTCGCCGTTAATAAACTTAATATTAGGTGGGTGTGAGTTTGTGGTTTGTGTACTTTGGCGAGTCATTATTTCAGCTTATTAGCTTTATCAGTTTACTTTTTCATCAAATACACAATTTTTTATTTTAGGCGTTGCATTGCATAATAATCAAAATAAATAAGGATAAACCATTTTTCTGACTTAATTACTGGAGTTACTCTAGATATTTTTAAATGTATCCATTTTTTTTATTTTTTATTTTTTATTTTTACTCCGGGGGGGTCTAGGGGAGGGGGCTGGGCCCCCCCTGGAGTAATCAGGGATGAAACTCACTCCATTGAGTTTTAAACCCTTATGTGCCTAGCGGGTTTCGAATTCGAGACCTCCCACTAGGTACGGTAACCTCACAACCAACTGGGCTGAGATTCTTGGTTTTTTAAATGTATCCATTTATTTAAAGGTATGTAAGAAAAAAACTATTACAAAATATAATTATATAATTTATATAATTTATAAGAGCTCGTTTGGTTAGGCTTTAAATGGTTAAAGTTGGTAAATTTAAATTAAAGTATAAAAAGTCACATTTTTATCCAATACATTTATTTTAGTAATATATTTGTCATTACTTCTTATTAAATATGTTTTATATTCGACGGATCCGAACTAATAGATCATTGGCTTCTTACCCACGGGCCGGGGCGCCTCCACCCGCGAGCCGTAGGCCGATGAGACCTCGTGCTTTCACAAGTAGTACATAATCCGATCCAATGCATATAAACACATCTAAAGGGTTTTAAATCCACAACGACCATGTGGATGTTACCGCTCATGCATGCTGGGCTGGACTCTTGTGCGCACAGGTATAAGACCAACCACAATTGGATTGACTAAGTCATCGTGATTTACATCCTTCCATATGCCTTGTCCGGTCGAGACGTGGGGACCCGGATTCAACCTTTTTGGAGGAACATTTAAAGGGTTCTTATGCATTTTGGATCCCTACCATCAAAAGCATCTCTCCACGGCAAAAGTACAAATCCTGCCATTTTCGGACCCCATCTCCCAATTTCCCTCTTTTTACAAACCCTACAATTTTCGGACCACTATATTAGAAAACACTCCAAAAAAAGTGTATCCTTTTTGTACACCTCCTAATTTTGGTGAACATAGCTCGTTTAGAAAAATTCAGCGATAGTCTGCAATTGTTTGTGTACACACGAGAATGTACAAAACGTATATGCGCTTATACCAATAATTACTCACATAAAAAAGTTGACAAAATGTAATAGGATGGAGATAATATAAGAATGCATTATAATACAGAGTAGAATATCTAGAAATAGTGTACTCTTTAGGATGTTTTTAATTGGATTGAAATTTTCTGGTCAATCCAATAGATGTTTGGTTTGGCAGATGTCTAGTATGGTCTGAACTGATTTGCTTTAGTAGATTTTTGGTAGGTGTCTCATATCTGTGTACTATCTCCGTTCTTAAATAAGTGCCACATATCAAATTTTACACTATTCATAAGCTCTACTTTGATTACATTTTATTTATTTATGTATTAATATATATTTTTGAAACAAATATTATTAAATTTGTCTCATTGTAAATTTTCAAAATCTGGTTTTTTTAATTTTTTTTACTAATAGAGTTATAAATATTGATGATCAAAGTTGTGTATCGACAAATGTGAAACGTTGACTGCTACATTTATTTAAGAACGGAGGAAGTATTATATAATTGTCCAAGTCTTATCTCGAACTCAAAAAGAGACCAAGTAAAACATTCTTAAAGAACTAGGGTCTCATATGCAAATTGATGAATTTAACAATGTACGAACTACTACGTATGAAGTACAATACAATGCCAACTTTAAGAACACTCCCGTCGGTTCCGTTCACCAGATTCGATTTTTTCAGGTAAGAGCAAAATATTCTTTTTTGTTTTTCGTTTTGCTCTACCTGAATTCAGAGTGGAGCAGACCTAATTCTTTATTAAAACGATTCTCAATTTCCGATTATCTTTCCTTTTATCATGTTTGTCGTATATTGCAGAATCCTTTTGCACACTCAAACTACTAAGATTCCTTGATTTGTTGTCAGTTTGAGCAATTATTTCCCCTTTTTGTTGTTGGGATTCGTCGAAGAGAAAATCCTTGATTGTAGTTTGGTAACATGATTTTCCCTTGTCCTGCATCGATCGATGGATTCAAGGGTTTAGCTTTCGGAGTTGAAAGTTAGGGTTTTTAATTTACTTTGCTTGTCATATTGTTGATGTGAATCTGCTACTAGGATGGAGAGTAACAAGGATGAGGCTTTAAGGTGCATCGGTATTGCCAAAGAAGCAATTCAATCTGGTAACAAAGCAAAAGCTTTGAAATTCATCAAAATCGCAGGCCGTCTTAATCACACTTTGGTAGTGGATGATCTTCTGGCCGCTTGTGAAAACATTGAGTCATCCGATCAAGTTCCTCTCAGAAGCAAAAGAGATGCTGGAAAAGCAAATGGTGAGAGGGATAAAGCAAAGTCGGATGAGGCTTCAAACGGGAATATGAATTACACCGAAGAGAACATACAATTGATTAGGCAAATCAAGAATGAAAGAGACTACTATGCAATCCTTGGTGTGGAGAGGGGCTGTTCAGTTGAGGAGATTCGAAAAGCTTACAGGAAGTTGTCATTAAAAGTTCACCCAGACAAGAATAAGGCTCCAGGCTCTGAGGAAGCTTTTAAGACAGTTTCCAAGGCTTTTAAATGTTTGAGTGATGATGAGTTGAGGAAACAGTATGATCTAACAGGTTTAGTTGGGCCTCAATTCGAGTACAACGAACCACAACGTAATAATTTTCGGCGAAGGAGGAGGAGAACAGTGGATGATTTTTTTGATGATAACATTGACCCTGATGAGATTTTCAGGGCATTCTTTGGTCAGTCAGACTTGTTTAGAACCACACATGCTTATCAGACTAGAGCTTCTAGTGGGCACCAAAGAGAAGATTCAGGTGGATCACGGCAAAACTTCACCCCCCTCCTTCGTCTGCTGCCACTGTTGCTGATTGTCTTGCTTGCTTATAACCCATTTTCCGAGCCTGAGTATTCTTTGCAGAAAGGTTACTCCTATCAATTCAAGAAAATGACAGAGAAACATGAAGTGGAGTACTTTGTTAAGTCAGCTGAGTTTGACCGGGATTACCCTCCTGGCAGTGCTGGTAGGGATAAAATAGAAGAACGTGTAATAAGGGATTACAAGAATGTGCTTGGTCGTTACTGTCATATAGAACTTCAAAGGAGGCAATGGAATCGGAACTACCCAACTCCTCACTGTGACAGGCTACGGAGTTTTTCAGTGGCATGAAAGGTTAGTTGTTATCACAAGCTATTTCTTGAATTTTTTTGTAGGAGTGTAGTTTTTAGTGAGTTTGGTTCAGGCATATTTGGAACTTGAAAAATGCCAGGGAGTGAAAGTTTCTCTTGGGGTAAACTAAAAGTTGCTTTAAACTAAATAAATTAATTTTAGATATTTGTTCAAACTCATATTCCTTACATAAATCTAATTGTATACAACATTTAAAAAGTTTTAACTTTTAATCAATCTTGGTTTTCCTTACTATCTCCGAAGTTACATAAAATTAACTACTCCGTATTTATTTGGGGTAGAGGTGGATCCCGAAAAATGC